TACCGGCTCGTGCTTCGGCCAAACGACACCGTCAGGGTGGAAGTCGACGGAGAAGAGCTCTTTGATGGCTCCATTGAGGAGAACTGGAAGCTCGGCGAACCTGCTGAAATCGATGACCCTGAGGACACCAAGCCTGAGGACTGGGTGAGGCCATCTTGATGATGTAGGTCACCATTATGGGCGATCCTCGTAGGTGGACTCTCCGATGATGGATGATCCCGAGGATAAGAAGCCTGAAGATTGGGTGGACGAGGCGAAGATTCCCGACGAGAAGGCGACCAAACCTGATGACTGGGATGAGGAAGAGGTGTGTTGAGTTCGCTGTAGGGTTGTGGTGATTTGAAATGTTATCAGGATGGTGAGTGGGAGCGGCCTATGATCGACAACCCCGATTATAAGGGACCATGGAACGGCAAGAAAATCCCAAATCCTGATTATAAGGTAGAGTTGAAGTAGTTGTTGAGTAAGTGAGTGCTGATCTGCAGGGAGAATGGAAGCCGAAGAAGATCCCTAATCCGAACTACGTTCCTATCGAAAAGATGCATAAGTTTGATTTCGGAACGGTCGCTCTCGACGTTTGGCAAGTAAGAGGCCGGCAATGATAGTTTCTCGGGTATTTTCCTGCTCAGGTGACATCTGGCGCAATTTTCGATAATTTCATAATAACCGACGACCTTAAAGAGGCAGAGGCTCTTTTTGAAGAGTTCAGTGAGTTGAAAGCTGCCGAAGAGTCCAAGGCCAAGGAGGAAGTAGGGGTCTGGTTGGTGTCATTGGAAGGTGTATTGCGTCCAATGTCAGGCTGAGAAGAAGAATGTTGAGGAGGAGAAGGAAGAGTCAACCGAGGAGGAGGAAGATCTTGATGAGGAGGAGTCTAGTGAGCAGAAGGAGACCAGTGATGATGACTTGTGAAAGCACGATCATGAATCACAACCATGTTGGTGATTTTTTTTCACACTAGGATCACGCATTAACGACTAAGGGCGGAAATACTCATCGCGAATACCAATCTTCATGAT